GACTTACAGAAAAACAAATGCTTTCAAAAGGTAGCGACGGATGGCTTTAAGTGTGTGGACGCTATCGACTCGAACTTCGATGCGACTAAACTGGACACCGATGTGGGCATCAAAGACATTACGGAAAGGTGTTGCGCCCTATCCGTTATGTACGACTGTTTCGTGAGCACCGGAAAGGTATGTTAGATATACAATTTAAAAATTATTTATTTATTTAAGTGTTTTACTATGATTATTCAAATAAATTATTAATATTAATTTTAAAAATTATTTCCATAGAAATCATGCACTGCTAGTGGAGATGATTATAAGCAAATGATTGGTTACCTGGATACTTTAAAGGAGGAGGAAAACAAAGGTGAATGCAAGGAGCACCCGTATAAGGCCGGTCAAACCAAATGTAAATAAATAATACCGGGATAATACAATATAACATTATTGTATTTTGCTTAATGAATATGTTAAAATAAAATTAAAATGTTAAATTTTATTTATGTTGTGATTAATAAATTATTAAATTAAAATATAGTTTTTCATTATTTGTTTATTTTCGAAGTTTGAAAGTACTAGACACAATTTAATCATATTTTAAATATTAAATCATGTCACAATATAATAATATCGCTTTAATATTGTGTTGTGTTATTAAAAATTTTTTGAATTATAAAAACGAAACAATAAAAAAGTTAATAATAAAAATTAAAATAATTTCTTATTTTACAATAAGCAATAAGGTTTTTCTTAAAATAATTTATTGAATTATTTCTCATGACTATTGGTTAGAAAGTAAAATTACGTGCCATAGCTAGTCCCTATAATCAGTGAAAATATAATCAATTTGGAAATTATTGCTACAGTCATACAATGAAAATACTATTAAAAATATTTTAACTGTTATTGTACCTAATACTTTGATCGATTATATCATGTAAACTTTGATACTATAATCCTTAAGACACACGATTGATTTAACCACTTATATGCAATATTAAGAATTTATTCTGTATTATATTAAATGCATTAAAATTTTAAAGATAAAAATTATTTTAAGTTAATTTTATTAATTATTATAGATTTTATTTTAAAATTTTATATTTTTATGTTCTCAAGCACAATTTTATACCTGGTATAACTTTATTATCAAACACAGTTATTGTGGAAACCTTAATGGCCCTGGTGTAATTATTGAATTAAAAGGAAATGATTACATTCTATAATAATAATTATTGTATTAATTTCTTAGATATTTTATTCTAGAGTATACGATAATTTTAATGTAAACCAAAGTATTATAAGTATTTATTTCAAATCACGTTTATTATGGCGTTAAGATATTTATTGTCTTAACTTATTAATACAAAACTATAATTAAATTACAGAGTTTTATAATTAAATAAAAATAGCACAATTTACATGGATCATTTAATTACAATGAATCAACGTTATAATACTTACTATTAAAATGACATAAAGTCATGTATTGTTTAATATAATTTTATATTTTGTAGTTATTGTTTGTTGATAATTAGTAGCATTTATATACAAATATAATTTTGTAAAATATTAATTTTATATCAAAGTGTTATTCAAATACATTAAATTATTTATTTAAAAATAAAGTAAAATTAAAATGTTCAGGGCATCTGTTGTGGTTACCCTATTGCTTTCATACTATGCAAACTGCGTGCCCAACGATCAGCTACCTATCCAAAACCAGTTACCGGTTCAAAAACAACTACCCGTCCATGACCAGCCATCAGCTCAAAACCAGCTACCCTTTCCAAACCAGCTACCTGTTCAAAATCAACTACCCGTCCATAACCAGCAACCTGTCAAAAACGAGCTGCCCGACCAAGACGAGTCATCCGTCCAAAATCAACTACCAGTGCTAACCCTACTGACCTCCATCATCATTAACGCCACCAATAACTTCGCGAATAACCCGTGCGTTCGGAACAGTAGTCTGGACGCCAGTCATTGTCTCGTGAAAAGAGTCCCGGATATTGACCTCAACACTACGGACACAAAGTACAAGTGTTGTCTCAATTTGGTTTCTATTGACTGCTTTATGTTAACCGGAAGGGTATCATATTTTTATTTAATTTTTTAGTTAACTATGATATATTTAATAAATTAATTATT